AAAGACTATGTATTAACTTTCAGTTCTTTGACTATTTGTGAAATTAAGCACTGTTTTTTTTTTTTTCAGGGGCAATATGTATATACTTTAGAATTGCTTGTTTGTCACCTTCAGCTTTCTTCTGGGGGAGAATTTATTTTTCTATTCAATAATATTTCTCTTGGCACACTCCAAGATGTTAAATTCCACTTTTAACAAACTCAGTAACTATGCCTCTAAAATTAATCAATCTCTTTTCTATTAGTAAAGTGACCTGTGTTTTCTGTTCACTGGTAAACTTGCGAATAGAAATGCAAATTATTTTTCAATTCAAAAGAAAATCATAAAATACCTTTCCAGTACTAATTTAATTGCTTAATAACACTTAAATGTTATTATTGAAGAAGATTAATGGAAGGAACCTTGGATCAGGCTAAATCTGTGTAGAACAAGTCACTTAATCTCTTCACAATCCTTTTTTTCCCCTATAAAATAAGACCAAGTTACTTTTCAGAGTTGTAGGGAGAGCTTGAGAACACTACACTTAAAAATCAATGCCAGCATCTTGACACATAGTAAATTCTTAATAAATGGCATCTTTAGTTTTTATTAGCCTCGTTTAGTATTATTGTATCTTAACAGGTACCTTACCATAGTGATTTTCCAAACAGTTATGAAACAAATAGTGGTTTGTGAAGCTAATAAGAATAATTAGAATTTACTAAAATAGAACAGAATAGAATGGAATATATCAGAATATTTCACACATAGCAAGGACAAGTTTCCCAATGTGATATGTGTTCCAGATATAACATATAGTGGGAGAGTGTGAATACTGAAGTACAATATACAACGTACTACTTACTAAGGGTTATGGTCCAAAACTCTTTCAAAAAACAACTTTACTATATTTTATCTCATAGTATACATATCCCTTATACTAGTGGCTAGGACACCTAGGTACAAATCTCAACTCCACGAGTTACTACCATCTAGGAACCAGTTGGTCTTAGTCTCCTCACCTGTAAAATGGGTGCTAATTACACTTACCTCATGGGAGTAGTGTGGGAACTCTGATTTCCTATATCTAAGCCACTTATCAAATCCTCAGTAATTGTTGGCTTTTTTGTTTTACCAAGAGTTGAGTAGAACATAAATTTTTTTTTCTAAATAAATAATCAAGGCCACATGCACTAAAGTATATAAGAGAATATATAATCATCACATTAGTCAGGACTGAATAATTGGCTAGTTTTTACATCAGCAAAATGATGCTTCTTCATAAGCATCCTATTTCCATAAATATGCATTTTCAAGAGCAATATAACTATTTTTAGTTTTGTTCTTTACAGACAATATCTCTCAGAATATAAAAGAATAAAAATAAATTCAGCAATTAATCTTTGTTAGTATATTAGATCCTTAACTGCCCATTGTATCTTTATAACTTGCAAAATACTTTTTTAATTTCACATGGTATACATTAAGTACAAAGAAGCATTGCCTGTATATTTCTTACATAATCTTTTCTTGATTTTTTTTTTTAAATCAGGAAAAGTTGGGATAATATCTTTGGTTAGTAAGTTACAAGTTTATAGATATTACCTTTTTTAATGAAACACCTTCCAGGTAGGTATACCTTATGTCTGAAAAGGATCTTTTTTGCAAATTACAGGAACATTCATTTACTTCCTTAGCAACAACAGCAAAAACTACTGAATAAACTTCAAGGTCATTTTCTACACGTTGACTCTCTTTAACATGCGTTATTTTTCCTATAGCCTTTTGGACCACTCAACTTACATATAGAAATGTTTTACATTCCAGGATAAACTGGGGAAATATGAAAATATCTAGCAATCCAAGAGAAAGGACCCAAACATCTGTGTGCACAGAACCTGTAAACAAGTGTGTAGCCAGTTAGAGGGAACAGCTGAACATCAGGCTCATCCCAAGAATTACATTCCACTTTCAGAACATGACAGAAATTGAGCTGAAACAGATAATATACCTTTAATTTAATGATGACACTGTTGTACTTTGTTATCTTATTTAGCACAATCATTCCCTTTAAATCCCACAATAAACCATAACTCCTCAAATATCCTCAGCTATCCTATGGAGACAAGTAATGATGCATCTCACATCTGGTGATTCCCCTAGTAGAGGATCAAATCCATGTTTTAATATATACAAATATTTCATGCATATGTTCACATTTATGTTGTATGTAATTGAAGTCTTGCTGAGTCACATGAAATGTGAGAGCTAAGGTATCATTAGTATCAATAGTTTCATCTAAGTTGTGCCAACAGTGAAAACAGTACTCTAAATTTTTGCAGGGAGACAAGAGCCAAAGCTAAGCAGAATCAGAAAATCAGGAAAAGCTTCTGAAAAGTGACCTTGAATCAGAAAAAATAAAATTTTTCCACAATCTGGAAAAAATCTGAGCTGCCAAAAACTCTTAGGGAATGGAGAGAGGGATAGATCAATCAACTTATTGATCAATTAATCAACAGAAGAAATTTATATGCCAGGCATTGTGCTTAGTTCTTTGCATAAATTAAAACCTTACATACTTAGTATGATTATTCTCCTTTTACAAATGAAGAAACTCGAGAACAGACAAGCCCTGAACCCCTGTCTGTCTGATTCTACCCCCTTAGGATTTTATTAGTAGCTACTAGTGAAAAATTCAGAGCTTTGAAAAGAGAATAATTATAAAATTTGATTATTTGCATATATGTATCAAGCTCAGTTGGTAAAGAATCTGCCTGCAATGCAGGAGACCCTGGTTCGACTCCTGGGTCGGGAAGATCCACTGCAGAAGGGATAGGTTACCCACTCCAGTATTCTTGGGCTTCCCTTGTGGCTCAGCTGGTAGAGAATCTGTCAGTAATGCGGGAGACCTGGATTCAACTCCTGGGTTGGGAAGAACCCCTGGAGAAAGGAAAGGCTACCCACTTCAGTATTCTGACCTGGAGGATTCCATGGGCTGTGTAGTCCCTGGAGTCACAAAGAGTCAGACATGACTAAGCGACCTTCACTCTCTTGTATCAGGCTCATCCATTATTTTCTTTCCAAAGATCCAAAATCTCTGGGTTTTGATTAAGATATTAATAAATCCCGTACATTTGAGATTATTCTACTTTCAATTATATTTTCACTAAATATGAAAGTAGGCATGATTAATTCACAGAGGGTTTGAATTCTATAAAAATCCTTTATCTGTTTTCTCTTTTTATCCATTTCTTTGCAGCTCAAAAGGGCTTTCTGGGTCCATCAGCTTCCCTGCTGAGACCATGAAGTTAGACCCAGGCCTATTTGTATCTGTCTATTCCTGTCCCAAACCATGTACACTGTCACCAACACAGCCTGAAATCTTACATCATACAGTAAAAGTGTTAAAGTTCAGAATATGCTTAGCTTGGAGAATATTACTCTGTTAGCAGACCTTCCTTACATTTATATGAGCACTTTACAAGTACTAAGAGAAATCTAGGCAGGGCAGGTTTCAATTCTTCATATTTCAAAAGATGTATCAATTAAGAAGTTTAATGCTTTGTCAAACTTCATTTAGCTAGTGAAGAAAACTGTAACTGTTTTCTGCATTCAAGCCTAAGAAGGTTTCATTGGCTACATTTTCTTGGGCTCCGAAATCACTGTGGGTGGTGACTGCAGCCATGAAATGAAAAGATGCTTGCTGCTTGGAAGGAAAGCTATAACAAACCTAGATAGCATATTAAAAAGCAGAGACATCATATTGCTGACAAAGGTCCATGTAGTCAAAGCTATGATTTTTCCAGTAGTTGTGTATGGATGTGAGAGACCATAATGAAGTCTGAGCACTGAAGAATTGATGCTTTTGAACTGTGGTGTTGGAGAAGACCCTTGGACAGCAAGGAGATCAAACCAATCAATCCTAAAGGAAATCAACCCTGAATATTCATTGGAAGGACTGCTATTGAAGCTGAAGTTCCAATACTTTGGCACCTGGTATGAATAGCCAACTCATTGGAAAAGACCCTGATGCTGGGAAAGATTGAGGGGAGGAGGAGAAGGGTGTGACAGAGGATAAGATGGTTGAATGGCTTCATTGACTCAATGAACATGTGTTTGAGCAAACTCTGAGAGCCTGGCATGCTGCAGTCAATGGGGTCACAAAGAGTTGGACAAGACTGAGTGACTAAACAATAAACCTTAAGGATTAATTCTTTAATATTTTGGAGGCAAACAAGTAATCGAATAAATTTAATAAAATAGTTCAATAATATAATCAAGCTAAATAAACTAAAATAATTAGACAAGTCATGTTTTATCATCAATGCTTTGATATATATATAGTTAATCATGTCACATTTACAGTGTTTTCAGAAATTTACCCAGCAAGACAGGTGAATTATTGGTCACAGTATTATCTATGGTAAATGTCAAAAAAAAAAAAAAACTGGGAGGAAAGCATACTATCAATAAATGAGATTCAAAAATTAATTTCTGTATAACATTCAGGAATCCTGGAGTATCAATATTACAATAGTATTCTTTACAAACATTTTAAAATTGACTAACATTTTGCATATATGCTATCATTTATCAGCAGTTTTAATATAAATATTTCATCTCATCATTCCTTGTAAAAAACACAAAATGTTTAGAGTACAGAGCATGTATGTTGTCAATAACTGTTTCATGTGCATTTCAATAGGACATGGGTTAAAGAGTTAAATCTACACAGCAAATAATCGCCTGTATAAGTAACTAAGAGATTTGACAGTTTCATTCTATGGTCAGGAGAGAATGCTTTCAATAACTACGTATGGCCTTAACTTCTGGGGAAGAACCTTCTCTGTGGTTCCATAAATATTTCATGAGCCAACACAAAGTAATATGCTAATGACATGCAATTTACCCAGTGAGCAGGTGTGCCCCCTCCTGTCTTTTCATCTCCAGAATAGCTCTCACCCGGGGCAGGTAAGCCATTCTGAATTGTGCTTTTTTTGCTTCCCTCCCCTCCCAGATTCAGCTGAACCTACGATGGTGAGCGAGAGTCATCACGAGGCGCTGGCAGCCCCGCCAGTCACCACTGTGGCGACTGTCCTGCCACATAATGCCACCGAGCCAGCCAGTCCCGGGGAAGGAAAGGAGGATGCCTTCTCCAAGCTGAAGGAGAAGTTTATGAATGAGTTGCATAAAATTCCATGTGAGTATTACATATTGTTACTCATGTAAAAATATATGGTTGAGAATCAATTTACCCATTAGAAGCAAAAAGCAGAATTCCTCTTAACATAAGCGTACTTTTAATTTTTTTTTTTTTTTTTTTACCATGCCACATAGCTTGTAGGATCTTAGTTCTCTCACCAAGGATTGAACCTGGGCCCTTGATGGTGAAAGCTCAGAGTCCTAACCAGTGAAGCACTAGAGAATTCCCCATATGTTTTTAAAAATTAGTGAAAGAGGTACTTTCACCTCTTGCAATCCTACCTATATCACATTTATTTAACTATAACACCTTCACTTTACCATGTTTCATATCTGGATACTCANCAACCCACTCCAGTGTTCTTGCCTGGGAAATCCCACGGACAGAGGAGCCTGGCGGGCTGCGGTCCACGGGGTTGCAAAGAGTCAGACGTGACTGAGTGGCTAAACACACAGACACTTATCTAGTATCTAATGGGAAAGTAGATTTTGGCCCTCACAAAAGAAATAGTCAATAAGTAGGCAAATGTATATGGCCCATCGTGGAATGATAAATAATATATGGAAAACAGCAGAGTAAAGTGGGAAAGGCAAAGCGGTAGAGGGTAAAAGGTTATTATTTGCTGGGATGATCTGAGCTGCTTCCCTTTGTAAGGAAACCCAGAGGAGAAAGTTCTCAAACCTGTGAAATACAAGGCCTCTAAGGCAAGAATCCACTGGAACAGCAAGGAACTCTGTGCCTTTGGTGGAATAAAGCAAAGTAGAGAAAGGCAGAAGGCAAACCTCAGGCTCCAAGACGTGGCGCTGTGTGAACTGTTCTCAGGAAACTGGATTTTACTCTGAGTGAAATAAAATGCCTTTGGGACATTTCGAGCAGAGGTATCCCATGATCTGACGTAGGCTTTTCTTAAAAATCAGGCAGCCTGGATGGGAGGGGAGTTTGAAGGAGAACGGATACGTGTATATGTATAGCTGAGTCCCTTTGCTGTCTGCCTGAAACTATTAAAATCACAAATTGTTAATCAGCTATACACCAATATAAAATAGAAAGTTTAAAAATAAATAAAAATTTAAAATTCACTCTTGCTATTATGTTGAAAATATGCTTAGAGGGACAAGGGGAGAAAATTAAGCAGTTTGTTGCAATAATCTAGATGAGCGATTTACAAAATTCATAAGAGAAAGAGGCCACTGAATTAAACTGCAAGGAATCTTATCCTCCCTGGAACTAACAACTTGTTGATCTATTTGCCCACTTTTAATGAATTCAAATTCATCTGAGAGATACTCTTAGCACAGTTGTCAGTAATTTCCATTCTCAGCATGAAGACTTGTAACCTAGGGAAGGTGGAGACGGTCCAGTAAAGTGAGCCCTAAAGGGGAAGCGCAGGCTCTCAGGTTCTCGTTCTTTCTCTGCTGCTGAGCTAATGGACTGATTCAGCTAACTTTTGATATGACTTTGAAGTCATAACTACAGGGCAAAAACTAAATGCATCTATCATGAGGGCAAACACTCACTTGGCTATTTTATCAAAATGCTGGCTTTAAAAGAAATGTCTTAGAGGGAAGCAGAGAAAGCAATGACTAACACCAAATCCAATGTATATTCTGCCTTGCCTTCAGCATCATTTCCTTCTCTGGAGGAGTAAACAATATGAGAGGCAATGTCAGCGTTGACAACAGTGGGATTTCATGTTCCCCAATAAATACCTATTCTTTCACTTTCTTTAGGCTTTCACCCAATGTCATCACCTTAATGAGGACTTCTCCAACCATGCTATTCAAAATTATAATCCATTCACCCCATCCCAACTTCATCAGCATTTCCTGTCCTCTCCCCCTGGCTTTATTTCTCACTGTATTACTTAGCACCATCTGAAACGCTATGTATTTTATTATTGGTTTTTAAATTGTTCTGGCTCTCTTCAAAATTGTGTAACCTCTATGAAGGGAAAAATCTGGGTCTGTTCTATGCATAGTTTCACCCCTGGTGATCCTTAATATATATAGGGCACTCAGTTTCTATTTGTCAAGTGAATGAATCAATCAATCAATGTTCAGGCTTATATCCTGAACCTCCATTCTTAGATTTTGAGGCCTTAAAACATTGAAAATTTAAAGCATATGAAAAAATTCTAAGGTGAAAAACAAGGTCCTCCTGTATGGCACAGGGAACTATATTCAATACCCTGTTATAAACCATAATGGAAAGGAATATGAAAAAGAATGTAAAAATATGTATTACTGAATCCCTTTGTTGTACTGTAGAAATAAACACATTATAAATCAAGTATAATAAATTTTCAAAATTTGATTTCTAACATCAAGGAAAGCATCATTTCAATGCTTGACTGTGTCATTCACATTGAAAAAACAAGTTGTTTCCATATTTATAGTGATAGGTTTATCTTTTAGCCTTTTCCACTTAGCACCATCTATACTTTATATTTTCCTCCTTGTTCATCAACAGGAAAAGAATCAACAGGGAAAATATCTGTGCAACACTCCCTTTTTCTTTCTCTTGGCTATCTTAGCTCATTCTTTCTTCCCAAGCCACTATCCCATTCCTGTATTTCTTTCTTAGGCACTGGAAATCAGGTAATCAGTCTCCCTCTGTGGAGATTTACTTTTACCAGCAACTTCACTTTCACTTTTCACTTTCATGCATTGGAGAAGGAAATGGCAACCCACTCCAGTGCTCTTGCCTGGAGAATCCCAGGGAGAGGGGAGCCTGGTGGGCTGCCGTCTATGGGGTCGCACAGAGTCGGACATGACTAAAGCAACTTAGCAGCAGCAGCAGCAACCTAAAATAAAATAGTAGAAGGTCAGAGAATCTAGGTAACATCTCTAGAAATATGATGCTGCTAGCTCTCTCCTTGATTTTTTTAATGGGGAAAAAACAACTGAAATACCTAAAATTTTAAATGGTTTGGCAAATAACTTTAGAAAAACTAAATCATGAATACAGCCACACAGCTTTATGATAAAAATGCAACTGCATATTTTACACTTTCATTTTAATCCATCACAATTTTTACTGCCTGTGTAATTGAAATTTCTAATGGGATTTATACACAGGGAGCAACACTCCACAGAAATGAAACACATTCCCTAAATCAAATTCCTTTAGGAGCGTATGTTACATAAAGGTTATCACTTTTGACTTGGCATAATATGGTGTGATGCTAATGACAGGTAACAAATTAGAATATTAATTGATTTCTGTCTCTGAACTAAATCTTGGCTATCTGGCAGATGTGTTTTTTTGCAAAATTGATAGCAAACAGCTTTAGTCTGTCACTTGAAATTCCCACTTGAGAGAAGAGAGGTGTCACAATGGCAAGGAGTGTGCATGTCATTAGCTGGGTAATCTGCAGAGTCCAGCACGGAGCATATTCAAACCAAAATGCTTGATGATATCATTCATAATACCATGGGGTTTCAAATTAAAAAAGGAAAAGGAAATGGGAAATTCTGAGCATTTTTATCTTTCCATTCATTCTGCACACTGTTATCTAAATGAAGCAGACAAGGTTTTGCAGAATGCTTCTTTATTTTGCAACTTTGATTTTAATATGACTAGGGCCATGGTTGGTTTGTAAAGCATGAACTCATGTCATCCAAATAGCTGTGATTAAGGTTTTGATATTCATGAGCTTCTTGAAGTCAAGTGCACCTTTCCTGAAGTATAGCAGAAAACCAAATAGCCAAAACTTGATTCTGAGTCTAGAATAAGAGCAAGTGGGCTGGGAGTAGTTATGTAATTCATGTAGAAATACCATTGGGTAGACAGTTTAATACAGGATTTAGAAACACAAGCTCTGGTTACAGACTGCATGGGTTCAGCTCTTAGCTCTGTCATATTCTATGTGACCTGGAGAATGTGACTTCAACTTTCTGTGCTTCAGTTTCTTCTGGCATAAAATGGGGATTAAAAATAATATCTCCATATAGAGTTGTTGGATAGAGGCATCAATGCATATGAAGTGCTTAGCGGAGTGTCTGGCACAGGGTAAGCATCCTATAAGTGTAGCTATTATTAGAGTCAAACTGTCATTTTTAACAAGTCTGTTTCTCTTTTGGAAAAGCCCTCCATTCAGGTCAGACAGACACCCAAATTGAGAAAACTTCAGAAACTCTGCAGCCAGATATTCAAGCATTACATTCTTCAAACCCATTCCAAGGATGCCTGTTCTAGGAAAGACAAATTCCCTCTTGGTGTTTCCTCTTCACATCATCTCTAATTTTCTTTTCTTTTGTCATTTCATTTTCTGACTCCCTCGTTCCTTTTAGCCTACAGGTATGCTCAAAGTTCACATATTTGCAAGTGAAATTCCACACATTGTACGTGCTTCAGAAATAGTTTTCTTACACACACTAAGCTTTTCTTCTTCCTTCACCTCCTCTGTCACCCACCATTCTCACTTCCTCCTTCGTGTCTACTTCAAACTGAGTGGAAAACACAACCTTGACCCTGACATCTATTTCTTCAACTCCCACTAACAATTCAGCTCCTTCCGCTCTGATTTCCATGCATCAAGTACAGGTAAAATGGTCACCAGGTACTTCTTTTTGCACAGTTATGAGGGTGACTTTCAACCTTCATTTCGTCACATATTTCTGCATCATCATTATGATCAGCAGTCATGATCTGAAAAATCTTGATTTCCCAAGAGTCTAATCTCATTTCCTCATCTTCCTTCCTTCCCTCCTTATTCTCTTTCATTGACTGGCCCTCCCTTTCATTGTCTTTCCTTCCCTTTAGTGGTAGAGGTCACAGTTTACAGGGTTCCATTTTTAATCCTCTTCCAGTCTTATCTACATGCTCCCCTTGGGCCATCTCATTCCCTAGCTATTCAGGTAAGAAATCTCACTATTATCCTTGTCTCCCTGACCTATTGCAACTCCAGTTCCATACCTGCACTCATTTAAGTCCTGTTAAATCTCCTTTAAAAAACTGCTTAAAATCAGTCAGCAATTTGCTTTTCTCTCTTCATA